AGCCGCGGCCTGCGGGGGTGGCAGCGGCCGCCGCCGGCGCTCCCAGAGCGGGGGAGAGCAGCGGGGCACACGCCGCTTCCCGGCCCTCCCCGCTGAACGCCGACATCGGGCCCGATATGATTAAATTATACGGCTGACCCTGAACCTGGTAACCTCTCGGCCCGAGTCACACCGAGGAGATAGACGGTGCTGCAACCTGCTTTTTGTCATCCTGTTTAATCTGAATTGACGTTCAGGGAATCGCAGGAGAGCCAAAGCCTGTGCTTGGCAGGGCCTAAGGGAGACATCTTAAAAGTGATCTGCACGAGTCTTCAGCTTCTCAGTTGTCGAAGAGTAAAGTTCACCCAAAAACGTGGTTCAGATAAATGCGACCTTAAGATAGGCCAGCCCTGGCAAGATTAATCCGTATGAATAGGAAAAACAAAGAGGTGATGAATCAGATGTTTACTGTGAGTGTTCCTAATGTTACACTACCCTCAGGCACTCAGAAGCAGAAACTAGAGGGTGTGTGACACCCCTGCCGTGACTGCTGTTTGGCCCAAGACAAATTCCCAGAGACTGGTTTGGGACTGTGTGATTAGGAAGGCCCTTGGCAGTTTATGCTGGCACTGGAGAAAGCACGTGTCAAAAGCCTGCTGGAAGGGGATGTACACAATTATCAGGCACCTTAAACGAGCAGAGCATGTGTTGCAACTTGTAGGCCCTGGAACCAGGCCACCAGTTGGGACCACACATTCCAAGTGTGCACAACATAGATTAGAAACTGGAATTGACCCACTGTACTTAACTCTGCTTAGTAAATCAATTTGCCATCACACCCCTACCTTCACCTGTGCTATTTATACAATGGAAAATAACGAAATACAACCACAGGAGAATGCACATTTGCTTTACTTATACAGCTACAAAACACAACTATAGGACCAGGAGATAACTGAAGAAGAAAAGCAGCTGGCAATGAAAACTTAAGACTTATTTTGTGTGGCATGAATTTGAAATGGGATTTGATTTACCCTGAAGACACTTAGACACATCTTTGCAGATTTATTTGAACACTAGGAGAAATAAGAGCATTCACACATGTTAATATCCCAACAAAACTGGCTGTGGGAGCTGTTGCCACTATCCAAGTCTGCTGTTGCTTGTTGCAGTTGCTGCTGGAGGAGTCCTGTGTTGGTGTTGCTGCTTGAGTAAACGGTGGTAATCATGAAAGGCGCCTTTCTGTATAAATATGTCCAAAGTTCAAGGACAAGTGGGGTATTCATCATAACTAAAGCATTGCTCCCATTCAAAGCTGCAGGAACAGTATCAACATAGAGCAAACGGGTCCAGTCAGTCCTCTCTGTTCCTGTAACAAGACGCTCTGCAATTCAAGTGGTAAGGCAAGAAAAATGCAGCAGCAAGAAAGGACCTGGGATGAGAGTAAAGTTAATGCCCAGATGAATGCCAGCTTCAAGATCTCCTACATCTGCCCTAGCCCACCAGGTAAGTGGCCCTTCACACTTTTTTGGTGTGATGCATACTCATTGGAGTTTTTTTCTAGTTAGCCCCTTATGGAAATGGACATTATTCCTCTGTATTGTCTCCCCTCCTTCAGCAGCTCCATTCTGCCCCTGCTTAGGGACTGTCATCACGTAATTGTTTTTCCTGATACCACCCGCATTGACACTTGATCCCTTGAACTACATTCTCACGTGCTCATGTTTCCAGCAGGTCAGTGCAAACATCCTTAACCTGACACTACAGAGAACCTTTGTGTTTCACCTGGAACGTGAAGAGAAGTAAATCGAGGCCAGCATTCTCTAGAGCACAGACCGTATTCCCTACTACATGTGTGCCTCCACACTTCTACCAAGAAACAGTTCTTCATACATTCAAAATTTCCTGTGTACACCTCTTGGCTTGTGGCACACAGTAAGAATTTATCCCACTTCACATGATCCCA